ATAAAATGTAAATATGTAAACATAAATTTGGACAGTCTTGTAAGTAACTCATGATGATAATACAAGACATTGCACAGTCTTTTTCAAAAAACAATTACTGTAGTTTTCAATGTACATTGTAAATACAAAATTAAAGAAATTAGATCAAAACAAATAGTTATCTCCTAATTTGAAGAGTGGAATTACATGGAAACCAAGTTGTTGTTTTTTAATCGCATAATTTTTCTTCAAGTTGTCGCACACATGTAATGAAATAAGTACATCATAAATAACTATTTGGCAATATACATGTAGTACATGATTGTTCATTAGAATGGCAGTTTAATTTAAATCATACATTTAACAACTTACTAAATTATTCATACCCCTTGTGAACCTGATATTTTTTGTGAGTTTTGTAACTCAAGAATGAAAGGTGGACTGGTTGAATTAAGGCCTTTGTTAAATAACTTTACATTCCAAAAGCATAAATTTAGACAAATTTTCACATACTTGGTAAGGGTATGATTTATTTAGTTGTTAAATATATACCACAAATTATGTGTTCCTAGTAAAGAGATTTCATAATTGAGCTATTTAATACTGAGTTCTCTCCTTCCCCTCCCTAAATAGAGGACCCATCGAGTTCCACTAGTTCTGATAAGCAATGTGACTAAATTATCTGGGGCTGTATTCACAACTCCTTGCGAGTCAAAGTGCTTGAGCAATACCAGACTTAGCCTTTTCCTATAAAGTAACATTCTACATTCTACTGGATTTTTTTCCTCAATTTTAATTGGGTTAGGAACATCAAGCTTTAATGAGTTATACTTGTTTATATTCCACATACTAAGAATCTTGCTCTACGATTGGTCAAAAGTAAATCACGTGATGAAAGATAGTGCGCCCATCATTGATTGGAGAAGAAAAAAAAGTTTGTTGCACTGTGTACATAATAGTATTATCTACACAGTGCAATGCACTTTAATTGTATACGTTGCATATTGCTTTCCTCTTTAAGTGTTAGTATGCAAACTATGGTCACACCACCATACTGCATACACTACGTTTCGTACACCGTTTGCTAGCTGTTAATTGATGACTTGTTGCTCTAAAATGACGGAAGAAGTGAAATGTTTCTGATGTGGAACATAAGCAAATAATCATCTTTTGGTTTCAGACGATGGCAAACTATCACTTCCTCGGCGATCTGAATGTATACGCTATCTTTCCTCAGCTTCGCTTTGGAAAGATAGCTACATCCAGATCACCTCGGAAGTGATAGTTTGTCCCATCACCTTCACCAATGGCAATTATTTGCTTAATATCATTTAAAAGCTGATAATCTTACCTTTTAAAATCAGATCTTAACTAAAACATCACAACCTGGAATATTCTGGTTGTTTGGTGGGGCCTAGTCACATATATAATAAAAATCTTTAAGACATATCTTGTGTTTTACTTACTGGTTGTTTAATTAATTCCCTTTTTTTTTGGTCTTTCTTCAAGTTTTTTTTCTTAAATCTTTTTCTATAACAAAAACCAATATCTCAGATATTTGCAATATGAAATTAAATCAAACATTTGTATCAATAATATAACATATTACAGTATAGATAAATACATGTAGTTGATGCAAATAACATTATATAATATATCTACATATTGCTATAAAATTGGAATCTTTCATGATTCGTAAACAATAGCCATTTTAATGGCAAGTAACTTTCACTTCACAAATTGTAAAGATTCCAAGTTTGGTCAATTGTGATTCAATCACGCAGCATAAAACTGTCATGCACACAACAGTTTCTGGTTCTTCATAACTACATGCTCAAGTTGTGAAACCAATTTTTTTTAGACACAACTGGAATAAAATAATAATAATAATCCTTTCTTGTATAGCACATATCACATTATAATGTCCCAATGCGCTTCAAAAGAGCTTTGAAAAGCACAGTGTATTACCCTAGCTTTAGGTCAGGCAGCCATTATCAGCCCATAGTGCATGTCAAGGAATAATCCTGCCAGGTACCCATTTACCTCACCTGGGTCGAGTGTGGCAAATGTAGATTAACGTCTTGCCAAAGGACGTCAGAGCTATGGCAGGGATTTGAACTCTGTACCTTGTGGTTCACAGTCCGGTGAATTGTCCACGGGACCACAACACCTCTAAAATGGGTTAGTATCAAACTCGACCGTTATCGATGGCAGTTCATTTAATGAATATTTGCAAGAAAACTATGGCCGATTTAGTTAGTCCGGAAATTGAAAAAATTGCAAAATATTGAATGTCACATTACTCAATGAATTCAGCAGCATTAAAACAAAACCAGCAACGTTTCATGATATCAACTGTTTGGAGTCATAAGAGTATTAACTCTGTCCAAAGTATCCAAGTTGAAGCCCTTCTGAATTCAAACAGACGATACGTATTTACAAGCAAAAATGGTAAATTCAACAGTGAAATTTTTTATTTTACTATTGCTTTCCTTTTACTGTAGCTGCATAGCATCCCTTGCTTCGAAATTTCAATGCTTTCAAGATTTGATTCAGTAAATTGAAAATATTGAATTTATGTTGAAAAAGCAAATTTTAAAGCATGAAAAAACAAAAATTCAACACCAATAATTATTATTCAACAAATGAAAGCTGAAAAATATGAAATGAAAACAAAAATTCAATGAAAGTTTAAACAAAGCAACTTCCGAAATGAAAGTTTTTTCCAAGTAATCAAAATAACTCAACTATGAAATGGCTTACCATGAACGTCCAAACAAAAATAATAAGATCTTTCAAATCTGAAATTTTCTTCTAAATTTTTCTTAAATCAAAATAAACTCAATTATTGAACAGCTGACAGTGTGCATTCATATAAAAACAATTCTAAAGTGGAATTTCCTTCAGAGAAATGCAAATAAACTCAACTATGAAACAAGTTTGAATCCCACCTGAAGTTTTGTCCCGCCAGCCTTGCGCAAGGAATCTGAAATGCAGTATTCCCTGCTTGAGCCTTGCTTGTTGGAAGCCGTCATCTGTCTCATCGAGTTCTTCTGGACATTCAAAACCTTGATACTTGATGCAGATTGGATCAAGAAATTCAGCACATCTTGTTACCCCTCAGCTGTCTCCTTGCGAAGACAAAATGTCTTTTGCACCCGAGTCTGTGTATGGCACCTGGCTAGAATGCTCCACAGGGAGTGGAGAATGTGTATACATTGTGAGTGGACAAGCCTGAATCCTATGACAACGATAATAATATTTCTATAAAGTAATTAGAGACATCGTGGATGTATGAAGCGCTATATAAATGCAGAACAGTATTGCATTTATCTGTTGACAGAAGACAAATTCTGAGATGTGCATGGTGTTGGGTTCCATTCCATACTTCATAATTTCTTGCCAAAGGAATCTGAAATGCAGCATATCTCATCTGAGCTTGATGCAGGATCTCCCAGAGCGAATAAAACCCCCTTCTGAATCTGTCAACGGAAGACAAGATCTCCCTGAGATGATTGTCGACTGCATCCTTTTTCCTGATTTCCTTGAAAGGCTGTGGCAAGGTTGGCCGTTGCTTGGAAGAGAATTGGACTGTTAGGCATAAAGGCTGTGCTCAAAACTCTGAATCAAGTGACTTCATTTGTGCATTTGGTCATGGGTGTTTGAACCTAGGACCTGCTGCTGCTTCCTGACCCTGGTGAGGTGTTGCTGTGAGTCTGTGAGAGGGAGTCCTACCTAGCAGCACATCTATGCATATATCTCAGTAAAGCATTTCTGGTTCGATGCCGCTCCTTACCCAGGTGACGTATTGCATCAAGGACAGAACAAAGGTTGAGCCTTTGAATTGTAGTTTGTGAGAGGGAGTTCTACCTAGCAGCACATCTATGCGTATATCTCAGTAAAGCATTTCTTGTTCAATGCCACTCCTTACCCTGGGGTACGGGATTTGGGAAGAATCAATTAATCAGTGTAATGTTAAACTATATGATAAGAGTTTTCAAACATTATCAGCATCATCATGTGGACATGGAAGGTCCAAAGAAAGGCACCGATTGTTCGAATATTGCTCCTTATCCTAGGGCAAGGGATCGGGTAGAGTGGTTGAACTATCCATAACAAAGTGTCCAACTGTCGACAGCATATGTACGAGTACTTGGTACTTGGTTGTTGTTCCTCCAAAAGATTCCTAGTGGAATTTAAACTGGAGGTCGTCGTATAAAACAATTCTAATGTGGAATTTCCTTCAGAGAAATGGAATAAACTCAACTATGAAACAAGTTTGAATCCCACCTGAAGTTTTGTCCCGTCAGCCTTGCGCAAGGAATCTGAAATGCAGTATTCCCTGTCTCTTATATAAGTAAGATCAAGATAAAGGCAGTGATTGTTCTTTAATGCTCTTCACCCAGGGAGGGAGTATCTGGAAGGTTGGACTGAACCTGAGACGAGTTAAACCAATGACAGCATCATTTGGACCTACAGGCATGGCTTGCTTCTGAGCTTTCATTTATAATGACTCCCCATACCCGGGATAGGTTATTCATGTGTCAACTAGTCGACAAATTCACACCCACGTAAAGTCACTTGCATGTATGGCCTGTAGCACATGGACTACCTGTACCCCAGGGGGCCATGGAGCATTTGGTTCTTACGAAATGAAAGGGGCATTTGCTGAACAAACGCAAGCTATGATGCATTTTGTAACAAATTTCATGAATATTTCTCCAGGTCTTGTTACGCATCCAGGTCTTGTTAGGGTCTGGTACAAGTAGTTGTCAATCATCAGAACCTCCGGACAAGTAGTGGGACATGATCGAGGAGCATGGATTTTTTATTGTCTTTTCTAGATTCTAGCATCGTCTGACTGTCCAAAACGATTGGCGAGTCTTGTGGCTTCTTCCATCTGCAGTTCTTACATCTTTGGTTAATCGGTTTCCGTAAGGGCTAGAGATGACACTGTTTATGATTATCAAACGCAGAGTCAGGTGGCAAGGGAATTCACATGGTGGTGGCAAGGGATGGTCTTAGAAGCATAGGTTGTGTATGTGGGGATGCTTGTAAATCTCATCCAGGAGTTCGCTCTCTGTCGGCTCCTGAAGATCGTCCCTGAAAGAATGAATGAATGGTAAGATTAAAAATAAAAATAATAATAATAATCTTTTAAAGTCAACTCCAAATTTTATTAAGTTAAACAGAAAATGGAAATTCTTTTTGCCCAATTGATCGTGAGCCCGGCAGCCACTGAGCAGCGCCAGATCGACGTTGCTCTATCCCTTGTTGTTGAACGCCAAACAAGGTAGCAGCAACTCCCGTCTTTTAACGTCTTTTGGTATGACGCGGCTGGGGTTCGAACTCACGACCTCCCGGTTATGAGGCGGATGCTCTACTGACTGAGCCAACACACCGGTTAATAGTGTATGAGTAGGACCTAACACTGGTAGGGGTCCAAAAGCAAATCCTTGGTAATGGATGTAAGGCAAGGCTGATGCACTCTTTTAGAAGTTTAAAGCATAAATTATTTTGATCACTATCTATCCACATGTTTGATACATTTTCCTATATCTTATACAATATTGTAGCGTGATGTTACCATTGTTATATTACTTTTGCATTTTGATGTTTGTATTATAATGTAAATATCTTATTATTTTGTAAAACAGGCAATATCAGCCTTGAGCTGCATCCCATGTTTTTCTTTTCCAATAAACCAATTCAATCAATCAATCTACTAATCAATTTTGAAGTTTCAGCCTTTCTTTGACGGCATCTATACTAAACATTTCAGTCCATATATCATCATAAATTGACAATGATGGCGATAAATCATAGCTTTTCTCTACCATTTTCTCTATCCTCCCATAACAACACTGTGAAAAGAAAAATTTGACCCAAGAATGCATTTGTGTCCTTCCGACAATTCATCCAAAGAATTACAATAACTCTTGTAATTTTTTAACAATTATTTGTTTATCAAAGACACCTTTTAGGTGTCGAGCACGAGAATGTATACAGCGATAGTGCAGTGGTCTCATAATGATTTCTCACTGCCTCCCCACCTCATTCTCTTTCTCTCTCTCTCTCTTTTTCTTGCCCTTCTTTTTTTCTCTTTGTTCCTCCCCCTCCCCCTCTCTCTCTCTCTCTCTAGCCCTTCTCTTTCTCTTTCTCTAACCCATCTCCCTCACCCCCCCCTCTCCCTCTTCCGTATTTCCCTGAACATGGTCTGTATATTTCCCTCTTCCAAAGATCTCTCTCCCTCTCTCTCTCTCTTTTTTTTCTCTCTCTCCCCTCCTCTTTCTTTCTTCCTCCCTCCCTCTCTCTATTCATCTTTCTTTTTTACCTGAACATTGTATGGACAGACATAAGGTAAGCGGTCGGTCTATTTCCCTCTTCCAAAGATTGCCGCTGTCTCTTCTGACTTCGGTCCCAGGATGTGATGAAATTCTGTTTCACAGAAGGAAAACAATCATATATGAATCACAGATATTAAACAGTGATTATCCATCAATTACTGAATCACATGAATGCTATATAAGTATGATTTTATTCTTCAAATTGGCAACACAATACTTGAAGTTTATCGAATGCTATAGATCTTATGATTAAGGAGGGGCGATAGCTCAGTCGGTAGAGCAGTGGTCTCGTAATCCTGTGACCCGGGTTCGAAACCAAGTCGATACGCTAGTCCCCTTTGGTAAGGCGTTAATCCTCATTACCAGGTCCCTCGGAGAGGACCTAAAGCCGTCGGCTGTCTGGTTGTTTACTAACAAGCATTTATGCTTTCTTAAAATAACCATCACAACCACCTAAGACTCAAGCACTATTTTAAAAGGTTAGATCCATCAATACAAAATTTCACTCTGAACAATGCACTTTGTGATGCCAGCTTACCTCCCAGATAATAGTGATAGTGATAGTGGTGGTTATTTTTACCTGACAGCTAAGAAAGCAATAAATGCTTGTTAGTAAGCAACCAGAAGACGACGGCTTAAGGTCCTCTTCAAGGGACCTGGTAATGAGGATTAACGCCTTACCAAAGGACACTAACGCATCGACTTTGGTTTCGAACCCGGGTCACCGGATAACGAGACCACTGCTCTACAGACTGAGCTATCGCGCCTCCTCATAATAGCATCACTAATATTATATTGTTAAGATTATCAGTATCATTATCTTCATCATCAACCATCAATATAATTATCATGGTCATTATCATTATTATTATCATTATTATTATTATTATCAACATAATCATCATCATTATCAACACAATCATCATCATCATTATCACCACCATCACCATCATCATCATCATCCTCATCATCATCACCATCATCATCATCATTACCATTATCATTACTACCATCACCATCAACATCATCATCATAGTCACCATCACCATCGTCACCATCATCATCGTCACCATCTGATCATCATCACCATCACCATCATCATCATCATCATCATCATCAATATCTCACCTCCAGAATAATTGCAGTGAATACGTTGAGGCAAACCAAGACTGAGGTGAAGTACCAGGCAATGAAATAGATTTGGGACCATCTAAAACAAGACGAGAAAATCATCAATGATTGAAAATTTGCTCCAAATAAACTGAATGTTAGATAATACCAATACACAATAATGGTGGCTTCTTATACAGCACATACACTATGAACATGACGGACAAAGAAAGTGGACAAAATATACAGTTCCTCATTCTACCCTCAACAATTGCTGTGGTAGACAAAGGAACATCCCTTCAGTGCTATTATGTAAAATGTGTAGAACGGGTGTCACATGCATATTCATCTGTTCTACACATTTTTACATAATAGCAGTGAAGGGATGTTCCTTTGTCTACCATAGCAATTGTTGAGGGTGGTATGAGGAATTGTATATTATGTCCGCTTTCTTTGTCTGTCATATTCATAGTGATATATCCATCATGCTGTGATGCTTCTGACGCTCCAACATTATTAACCCAAACAAAGCTGGCGTCCAAAAATGAAACGCTCTGGCATATTGGGTACCCATTGCCTCCTGGGTGGAGAGTGGCGAATGTGGATTAATGTCTTCACCAAGGACGTTAGGGTTGGGCTGGGCTGGGATGGCTGCTTAATTCACACGACCGAGTCACAGCTCGCGTTCGTAATAGCAGTTATTGTTCATGCTCATTGTACTGGGCTGAGTGCTTTGCACGCGCTATTGATCGCACCATCAGATTATCTCAAAATAAACTTGGCACAGGGGGGATTTGTGGCTTGGCACAATGGGGATTAGCCCTGTGGCACTGGGCTGTATTCATTATGGCAGGATAAGAGTTAATGCTTGAACCGAGTAGCTGTTTTGGCATTCAGGAAGACATGCCAATTGGGCTGGGATTTGAACCCTCAATCCTAGAATTGTGAGTTAATTGAATGAACCACTATACCATTACACCTCTGCTAAGAAATAAGAAATGATATCATGTTAATACTCACTGAGAAGCTGTTTTTGAATATGCCTCCAGGAAGACATGCCAATTATTCACCACCATGATATCCCAGAGTACAACGATGGCAGACTGGAAACAAAGAGTGAGAGAAAAAATGAATTCTTCATAAAATGGACTTTTCAAATTTTCAAGTGAATATTTTCAACCAGATTTGCTATGACAAGCTCACAACCATGTATCTGCATAATACATTGAATCTATCCCTGATACTGATGGATATAGCTTTGGGCCCGTCTTATAAAGAGTTGCGATTGATCCAAATCAATCGCAAGTCCCTCAATCAAACGCAAATTTGCAGTCTCCTATCTCCCATGTACATTGTTGCGATTGATATCAATTGCAAATATGTTGTGACTAATATCAACTCTTTATAAGACAGGGGGCACTGGTAACAAGAGTGAGAGAAAAAATAATTTTTCATAAAATATCCTCTTCAAATTTTCAATTGTAGATGTTCATCCAGATTTACTATGGCAAGCTCACTGCCATGTATCTGCACAACATAATGCATCTATCCTTAATACTAATGTACATAGCCCTCTATGAAGCTTATTTTCAAGTAAAAGAACATTATACAAAGCATTACAAAATTTAATTTTTAATCTGAAGTACGAACAGAAATCAGCACTTAAATGCACTACGGTAAACAATTAATATCTTTTATAAATGTAATGCTTCTGGGAGAAATTTCAATTATTTAAACATATTTGTGGCTTACACCCAGTAAATAAGATCAATTACAGATCGATCGATCATATTTAATGGGTGTAAGCCACAAATATGTTTAAGTAAATTAATATCTTAACCTAAAGTACATTAACAACATAATATTACAAGGGAATGGTGGTTGTGTATTAAAACAGTCAATGATTCAAGAGTACCGGTACCGCTTAAAACAAGGTTGAGATGTTTTAACAGATTTGAAGTCGCTGAAGACCAGTAATATAATTATTTCACTTTTCTTATGATAAAATAGATACAGGCATATCCAAATGAATCAAGTCATGATTTCAGACAAATTTTGCAAAGAAAAGACGATATACTTTATTTAAATCATCAAAAAGGTCAAAAAAGAAATCAATACACAAGAAACAATGAAAGAATATGTGAGTTATTTTGGTACAGAAAAGAAAACATACTTACCGCAAAATCATCAAAATTATTTGCATAGTAATTCAGCTGCCGATAAGACCCACACATTGGTAATTGACTGCAAGATAAAAAGTAAATAATCATAATAATTAAGGCTGTGCACAACAGTGTAATGAGGTACCCGAGTCACTCCCAGGCTTACAAGCGAATACTCAAATATTCGGACGCCATGTTTTTTAATAATTTTTTTGATTTTTTTTTTGTTGCCACCACCATACCACTGGAGCAGTATCCCAGGTCCGTCGCCGAAAACGCATGAAATATAACTTTGAGTTGCAGTTGAAGGCGCCGATTTAATAATGATAATAACAGTAAACAATGATGTTTTAAAAACCAAAGATGGCAGAATAATCCATTTTCCTCCGATTCCAAACAGAAATCCAGACATTTGGTCCCAGTTTCTGAGTGGTGAGTTTGACAGTGCTTGAGTTGGGAAACATTTTTACCGATGGTACCATGCCAACGGCCGTCGCTCTCCCTGACACGGGTAAGCGTCGGCCTGGACATTGCCAGGTGACCGGGATTTTTTTTTTTTTTTTTAGTTGCGGCCGAATATTCAAGTACGAAAAATCGTACTCGAGTAGTTGTCAACAGTGCGGGTACTCGAGCATTCAACTACTCGTCGCAATTGAGTAGTGTGGCATACCTAGTATGCCGAAATTAGGCCGGGAATTCATGTAAAAAATGTTGCTTCGGCGTAGTCCCAGCGTAGGTTATGCGTAGGCTGGCGCATGATGGCATATGGTTACGTACCCGGTGGATAGGCACCGCCTTTCTATGGCGTATGCAATTGGCGTACCTATGCGTACGATTGCGTATAACAAACGTAGGGTTGCGTACGTTTGCGTAGGCCTGGCGTAAAGGGTACGTAGGTGTGCAGGTAGGATCTAGGACGCCTTTATACGCTTTTACTACTTCGTCAGACTGGCGTAGGGAAGCGTACTATTGCATAGGCATGGCGTACAGTAGCAAAGTGTTGCTTAAGGTTACATGTACGTATTGTTGCGTAGACTTGCCTTAAAAATGCCTCCTTTCTGGGTCTAATGTCTATGCAGATGTACGCACAAATTTTTTTTTTTCTTTTTTCTGTCCATCTTGCGTACCCCTTTGCGTCCCTCAGCGTATAGTAACAGAGGCCAGCGTATGGCAGCGAACGCTTGGTGTTGTGGGTACCCAACACTACGCAACTCTACCTATGTATGGCCTAGTGTGAAAGGGGCTTAAGATCAACTTTAAGTTGGACTTTAACTATGGCAGGTCGTTCATGCCACTGGTTGCTCTCACCATTTACTGGCATTGGTATGTCAAGAGATTTACAAATCATAGTCACAAATAAATATACAGAATTTACATTTTTTGACAACTCATTATTGAAGGAAAAAATATTATCTGAAGATCATAATGGTGAGAGAAAACAGAGGCATGAACGGCCTGCCATAGTTAAGTCCAACTTAAAGTCGATCTTAGTCTTTGTGAAACACCCCCCAAGACCTGTACGAAGCAACGTGTGCTTGTAAATGAGTTCCTTATAAAGGTAAACACAATATTAAATTAAATAGCAGGAGAAATAAAACTCACAAGGTTTATATGTACATTTAGAAAAATGAAAAAAAAAGACCATGATATGATAAATACTGCTCTTCGTACGGGCCTTGGAATAATTCTCTATATTGCAACTCCGGTATTTGGCCATAGAGGGCAGCATCTATAGGCCATGGGTTTATTTGGCAAGATCACTTCTGGTTCCCATACAAATACAATGAGTCAAGAACTGGGTAGTCCTATAGCAATTATAGTTTCAGAACAAATAAACTACAGTCTAACCTGTCCATAGCAACCGCCCAAGGGAAACACAAAAAGTGGTCTTTGTAGACAGGTTCCTTTAGTACATGTTTCAATGATTTTTTTTTTCTTCAAGGGAAACAACAAAATGTGGCCTTTGTAGACAGGTGGTCACTAAGGCAGGTTTGACTGTATACCTGTAGGTACCACAATATGATGGTGCCTACATCATTGGGGGAGTTCATGAAACCTGAACAATAGTTTAGTAAAATAAGGAATTAGTTGACACTGCTTGCAGGTCCAAGCTATTTTGTTCCATACATAACTAGCCTCATCATAGATTTAGTATATGTGATTATTGCATGAACTTAAAAGCCTTACTAGAGCTTGGATGAAAACAAATATGAAGTATTCAATATTCAAATTCACATTTATTCGGCAAAAGATAAAAACATCAAAATGAAATCATTACAAATGAAATCATTATAAATACCGGGATTGCTAAAATAAGTTAAAAACTTGTAAACAAGCAACCCCAAACATAAAAACATACAGATACTATACAATACAATAAGATGAAATACGATACAATACAATACAATACAATACAATAATAATAATGTTACATGCTAACAAAATATATGAATCAATTATGTATTTCAATAAATCAATAAGTGGCAAGTATTGTTCTTTTCAGTTTAAGTTTAAATGTGTTCTGGTTCTTAATACCCTTTAAATAACTTGACATGGAGTTCCATTTGTGAGGACCTTGATATCTAATTGATTTATTTTGCAAAAATGAGTTAGTGAATTTTGGTAGATGGAAGTCATTTTTTTTTCTTGTATTAAAGGAGTGGACATCCGAGTTCAAATGAAAACTCATAAAACGTTACTGGTAGCAAATTATTTTGGAGTTTGTACATAAATAATAAAGTCCGTTGAGAAAGAATATCTGGAAGTTTAAGTAAATTTAAGGATTTAAATAATGAAGAGGTGTGCGCCCTGAAGGAAGCATTGCAGCACAAGTGAAGTGACTTATTAGTCAAACCGATTTTTCTCAAACTTTTTTTGATTGGTTTGTCACTTTGTCTGATTTTTCTGCTTCTATTGAAAGTAATTTATTTTTTGGAGTGGACTTGCCCTTTAACATGAACATGAATACAGTCAAACCTTTCTTTTGAGATCACCTAAGGGAAACAGAAGATGTGGCCACTGTAGAGAGGTGGCCTTTCTGGACAGGTTCTGCAGCACTCATATCTTTCTTGAGGGAGACAAGATACATGACCACTATAGACCGGTGGCCTCTAGAGAGCGGTGGCCACTAAGACAGGTTTGACTGTACATGCGACATGGACATGGCCTTTAAACGTTCACAAACATGCAAAGAACTTACGTTATGTCAGTATTATTGGGCGGCTGGGGACTCTTCCCTCGAAAGACGACCATCCCCAAAATAGCAAATACATAGTAGATTACCTGCAACAGAAAGAGAGGAAATAGTAGTCAAATTTAATCAAGCCTGAGTTTCTCAATACCGCCATGCCTTGAATGGTAAATATACATATAATAGTTTTAGTAGAGGGTTCAAAAAGAATCTAATACAAAAATACATTTCTCGTAAAGGTTAAATCTCCCCTGTTTCACACACTCTCTCTCTCTCCCCCTCTCTCTCTTCTTCTTCTAATTTCTGTAGTGTGCAGCTTTGTTTTTGTCTTGTTTTGTCCTGTCATGTCCTGTTATGAATTGTTTTGTCCTGTCATGTCCTGTTATGAATTGTTTGGTCATGTCTTGTCTTATCTTATTATGTCTGTTTCCTGTCCTTTGTGTCCCGTTTTGTAACTCTGTTCTTTTTGTATATTTCGATTATTTAAATACTTTAAAAGGGTTTATGAAAATATGTTATTATAATATATCTATTTTACTGTGATTATTAAGACAACTTAAAATGATTAATGAAAATAATGTTCATATTATATTTATTATTGGGGACCTATACAAACAAGCTATGCTTTCCAGTAGGTTCCTGTTTCATTTCATAATTTGAACTTACTTTGTAAACTATGTTCTTTATTGTGCATCAATTGTTATATGAAATAAAATAAAATTGATCAATCAATCAATCAAAGACTTAACATTAATTGTGTGGCGATATATCTAATCATTAATTTACTCCCACAAAATACTCAACAGTTATTCATACCCTCCCTATACCACACAAATTTAAGATGGCAATCCTAACCACACGTTTACTTGTCTGGTAAGAAAAATACTTCATTATTTTGAAAACAAACCAGAATTGTTTAAACAACCAGCATTAACCCTAGCCATATACCTAACCCTAACCCTAAACCTAAACTGAACCCTAACCCTAAACCGGCGTCCACTGATAACCCAGTTTTTAAACAACATGTTGCCCCGAGAAAATGTCGTCCGAGCATTTGACGGATCACTGGTGACTTACAACAAGGATCCCGATGAAAGCACGTAGGTTCCTGATCAGATCCAGCATAGTACTGACCACAATGGCCATCGTCTGTCAAAACAATCAAACAAGGCAATACAAAACAGACACTTGTTAGCTTTTCTTCATCAAATTGGCAACTCTAGTAATCTAGTTTTTATGACACAACTTCATAGTAGTGTATGGAGGGAACTATACGGTAAAGAAAAAAAGTTGCCTATTTTCATAGGAAACCCATGTTACTTAACATTACATTGTGTTGCCAATTTAAAGATGTTAAAGCTTATATTTCTTTATAAAATATGTGCCTCTAATGACATACCGTATTACGACATAAATTACACTGTGTTTCATACAGAGAAATCTGTAGATAAAATCCTGTGTAAACCACACTGCGGTCTTCGTAGGCAGGTGGTCTGTGTGTACAGGTTCACATGTTTCAAAGAGAGACGCTATTCAAGATAACCAGGAAATGCGGTCTTTATAGACAGGTGGTCGCTAATGCGGTGGTCACATCCCGCCGTACTTGCAAGTGCGTGCTGTCTACGTGCAAAAACGTGGGCAAAATGTGGGTATCCGTACGTGATGAGTACCGCCTCCGTACGGGTTTGGGAGCACGCAGACACACCGTAGCACTTTTAGTGCATGAGGAACTTTCGCTGCGTTCGGGCTGCGTTCGGGCTGCGTTCGGGCTACCGATTCACCCCAGTGCGTGTGACGTGCGTGCCCGGTACTGCCAACGAGCGCACAACGCACTGACTCCGTGCGTCTTTTAAAGGCGCACATGATAAGTGCGTGGTCCGTGCTTACTCGCCACTTCCCCAGTTCAGCTATCCAATGAGAACGCAGAACTCACGTGGACCGTACCGAGTAAGCACTTACAACGCACGTTGTTCGCACTGATTTATGCAGTAGATAGACTTTTCGGTGGAATGGGCGGAATCTTGAGGCAGCAACAGCTGGGACTTCTGGAAACATCGGAATGTCGTCCTATATAAACACCGAGTTCATCGCACGTGCACGCACTTACAACATGCGAGTGAGCAAGGACACCGTACGTGAGCAGCACTTGTAAGTACGACCTCCGTAAGATAACGTGGCAACCGCACGGAGACCGTACGTTGTAATCACTTTGTAAGCACGTACAACGCACTTATCACGTGCGCAACGTACGATGCAGGCAATCGTTCACGGTCAGGCGTGGCGTGCGGGCCACGTACTTACACAGTGCGTGTGACGCGCGTTGCCGGTACTCCCTCCCTGCCTTTGCCACTCCCTCCCTACGTTTTCAGAAAAACGTTGCGGCCGTGGCCTCCCCAGAAACCGTACGGACTAAAAACACGCACGGTGGGATGTGACCAACGCTTAAAGCAGGAATCACTGAACACTGTACATACAAGGCAATACAGACCTGCCAACCTCTGGAGTTCAAAAACTGTATTCTTTAGTCCCAAAAGTTGTATTTTACTGACAAAAGTTGTATTCTTGAAAATAAACACGGATTGTTACGCGGATCAATGCCTCTTACAGTTTCTACATACAAGAAGAATTTTTTTTATTGATCATTGGTTGAATTAGCATGATTTCGTCATGACTGGTGTGTTCAATGAACCAATGAACATCCCCAAATTGCCGATGTGAGATGCTTGTAGGATACTTTACAGGACAGAATGGACATTTTGCCATTGAAAATGGCGGACGCACACACAAAATATTAATTTAATTTTTTTTTTTGAAAATCGTATTTTATTAAGGAAAATCGTACTGTCGTATTTGCTTCTAAAAATCGTACTAAATACGACTAAATCGTACTGGTTGGCAGGTCTGGCAATATGACTTACATTGAAAAACATGATTCAAAAGAAAGAAAAAAATTGAGGAAAACATGATGTGGTCATTATAGACAGGTTGTCTTTCTATACAGGTGATTGCCGAAGCAGGTTTTGCAACTTACATACTGTACAGAGAATTTGACTTACATTGAAGTGTGTAATTATCCTGAAGAGCCGGAAGGTTATGAGGATGTTAATGATCCTGACAAGATCGTACATAACAAAGCCCACACTGTCGTCTCTGTCAAATCAAAGAAAAAATAATCATAATAATAATAACATTATTAAATCAGGATTTACTAAAGCACTTAATTTAAAAAAAACACACTTAAATGCTCGTTAGGGCTCTAATATTGTCTCACAGCATATTTGTGTTTGTGTTTTTGTTTAAGACAAATTGGCAACTCACTCATGAGTCTGTGACGTCATTGCCTCATTATCCACTAATTGTTTTTTTTATATTGATATTAATATAAATTTCCCCCCTAAAAATCTGATTTCCTCATACCAGCATCCAAGTTATATTGAAAGTAATTTGTTTTTGTGTGGATGCACTTATTTAATAAGTAAATGTTTATTTGATAATAGAGTTACACCTATCATAAAGAAAAATAAATACATTTCAATAATGGCTAGAGAAGCAAAAGTCTGCACCAAACTGTTTAATCTGGGTTATAACATTAAGAAATTAAGGCACATTAAACATTAAAAGAAACTATCTTTTGCGGATGTTTTTATATCCTGCGTTAATGAGGCTTATAAGAAATGGGAAAACTTACGGATAAAGCCGTGATCCTTCCATGACGAGGTATAAAATTTGCGCTACCTGGGGGGGGGGGGGGTGAAATATGAAATACATCAAAAATACATTCATGTCATTTTCAAATTACAAAATTATCAAGACATAACACAACTAGATTCTAGGCCTCTCACTAGGTCTCTCAACTGGTCTCCAAATGACCCCATATCTGAATTATGATCAGGAATATTAGCTTGATTTGTGGACTAAACTTCCATGCCATATGTGTGTGTCATCCCACATACCCATTTCTGTGTCCCATACATGTGATTTTCAACAAGAATGGGTCAATTTCTTAGCCATTTGATCATTCCAAAAGCTGATATGTAATCATATGACCAGTGGGATGTTTCATAGAGCTGTGCGTAAAGTTACGCATGACTTTACGAATGACTTAAATATGAAGAGCTAAATGGGATTCTCAAATCCTTTTAATTGCATAAGCTAAATTTGAAATATGCAGATATAGATTCACCTTATCATTATTAACAAAATATTTTAATGCAAAGTGTTATTTTGGCTACAATTTAATTGAGATTATAGGAAATACAGTCACACTTTGTTAAAATGTCAGAAAAAACTTTGGGCATCCCATTTGGCTCTTCATATTCAAATCATCTGTAAAGTCATTTGTAACTTTACGCACAGCTTTATGAAACACACCCTGTACTCACATGACATGTGATCACAAGACTTTCACTTAAAGATAAAGACCAGTTATGGTCATGCGATTGCATTGTGAAAGAAATGTGGAATCGATCAGAAAAGGTTGATCATCTAGCCTATAAGTATTGGTGTGTACTGCAAGGTTCTGGAATCATCAAACTGATAAGAAATTTGGCCCAGTCTTGGTAAAGTTACAAGCACTGTACACAGAAAGATGTATATGGGACTACGCACATGTGCACGACACGTGCGTTTATCTCTCACACACCAATAGATAAACTAATTTACCAAATATATCAATTAGTGGGCGGTTTCCCGGTAAAAGTTTTATCATCATGTATTAGTCAAAACATATTCTTTCACATGATTGGTAACAAGAGCTTCCACTTCATTTTTTGAAATTGGGGTGTTTCCAATACTGGCTTTTACCTTTAACTTTATCATTAAACCATTTGACTTCCAACACTTTTACACATGACTGCAAACCATGCCACAATGAAACCGAAAAGACTTACTAGCAAGACTGCTGTGAACAGTGCATCGAGGAGGTTCGTAACCGAGTACTTGAAACACTTCCAGCCAAGAGCCCAGAATTTCAGTATCTAAAATGAAGAAGGAGATTCACAACTTTAGCGTGGATGTGTCCTGAACAGATATTTTGCTGACCTAACAATACAGATACAGATTCATACAAATCAATCTTTTTCTTTACGAGATTCACAGAGCAAAGCAGCTTTATGGCTCAATTATGAAATATCAAATTCCAGGCATAGGGTCTGCTGAATGATCATACTCGGTGTGGAGGTTTCGTAACACAGAGTAGAAGCACACGTACAGCCTCAACGAGAATGCGGATAGATCGTATAATGAACTCGCGCACACGCAACATTTGCACAGTACAGTGAAATCTGATACTCCTTACCAGAATAGAAGCACATAGCCTCAACGTGAATGCGGATAGATCGTATAATGAACTCACGCACACGCATCATTTGCACAGTACAGTGAAATCTGATACTCCTTACCAGAATAGAAGCACATAGCCTCAACGAGAATGTGGATAGATCGTATAATGAACTCACGCACACGCATCATTTGCACAGTACAGTGAAATCTGATACTCCTTACCAGAATAGAAGCACATAGCCTCAACGAGAATGTGGATAGGTCGTATACCGAACTCGCGCACATGCATCATTTGCACAGTACAGTAGAATCTGATACTCCGTACCAGAATAGTATACAAATATCCACTGTCTTAAGAGGTTCTGGTTAAAACTATGTGCAAGAGGTGACTCCAATAGTACTATTTGCTGAGGGGCGCAGCCCCGAAGCAAATGGTACTTTTGGGGTCACCAAGGCACATAGTTTAATCAGTACCTCGAATAGAAGGCATGGTATATTTGTTTTATATCCTGCATCAAAAATGTATTAAAAAAAAAAAAAAAAAAAAAAAAAAAAAAAAAACATTTTGGGGAAAAAAAATTTAGAACAAAAAAAATGTCAATTTTTATCTAAAAAGATTTAAAAAATTTTGTTTTCATTAAATTAAGATTTGAAAAAAAAAATTGATTCAATTCAAAAAAAAAATTCACAATTTTTTTTCAACTCCCAAATAGTAAACCAAAATAGTACTCTCATATAATACTTTCTGAAAATAGCTCAAATATTTCTGGTCATGTGACGAGCTCTCAACCAATCAAAAGCCAACACATTTTTGATGCAGGATATAAAAGCATATAGCCTCAACGTGAATGTAGATAGATCGTATACTGCACACGCATCATTTGTACAGTATAGTGACATGTGATACTCCTTACCTGTTCTACGCAGTAATAGATGATGAAGACAATGTTGAACTTGGTGAGCTCTGAATCGTCATGGTAAAGGCTTTTATCGTACTGTGTTGAAATCTCAATCTACAAAATGATAGAGAAAACATTGATCTATAAAAGGACACAGAAAACTTGCTTAATGACATAAATTTAAAGAAAGAAAGTGTAAGTTCTATAAAAGAACAGTAAATTGCCTTGCCTAAAGACATACAGTTAACTAAATTATTTGTACACTTCAATATCAAGTTTTGTAATTCTTGATGTAAGTGAAAAATTGATTTGTCCTGATTTAAGTTTCTTTAGGATGTGACATATTTAAAGATAATCTTGAGTTCTGGCAAAAAAAGAAAATGAATTCTCACAGAATCTAACGAAACTTACACTGAATGTTCAAGATTACAAATAAATGTCATGTGCCAAACAATTTTGGAAGAAAATTTATACTGGCTGAATAATGAGCATAGAAAGATAAGGAAATCAGGGTAGTACTAGCCCCGACACCATGTGTGTTGTCCCATATACACCTTTCTGTGTAAGTGATTGTTACTTTACCAAGACTCTGCCAAATGTATGATGATTTGGTGACTCCAGAACCTTGCATTACACACCATTACTTACATGCTATATGATCAACTTTTCTGATCCATTCCACACCTTTTCTTTCACAATGCAATCGCATTACCAGAACTCAAGTTTATCTTTAAGCTTACATCTAAAAGTATTCAACAAAGGCCCTAATTCAACGTGTCCACGTTTCATTCTAGAGTTACGAAAAACACAACAAATATCAATTTACAAGGGCTAGGAATACTTTATTTCTTACCTAATGCAGTGGGCAAGAATTCAATCCCAACCCAAGAACAATTAAGATTACTATTAATTGCTGGAAAGACGGACACGGCTCAAACATCACTTAATTTTGGTTCAAATTTGGACAATCTACTCCTAAAATTTACATTAATGTCACTTGTGAGTTATATACTGAAAAAAATGAGTGTTGCTTATGTGTACATCTGATCAATTAAAAGGGAATAGTTACAGTTAAAAAATGAATAAATAAATTTTCTTAAAAGCACAGCTTCCCGGTAGGTCCAGATTGACATATTCTGCGGTCCAGAGTTTGAGAAGCCCTGGTCTAGAGTAAATGCTAGATCCCCCTGTATGAAACCAAGAGTTCTACTTACACTAATAAAAACGATGTTCACAACTGCCACAGCCGTCCCACAGTACCCAAAGAAACGATGGACGATGCAGGACTGGAGTCTCTTTAGTCTTGGTCTAGTTATTAGTCTAGGACCTGGAATCTAATTTTACAAGAAGTATCAAAAATTAAAAATAGTAAAAATAGTAAGATTTGCAGAATGGGTTCTGAGCTCACCAGAAACGTCTGCTTTGCCATCTAGAACACATTTAAACATACAAATTATTAATTAAGGCAGTGAAAATACAATAAGATTCTATATGCTGGAGTATGGAGAACCCAAAAATCACTATATAACTGGAGTAATTACAAATGATTTCTAAACCGTTTTCACCACCCAAGAAATGTTGCTTTCAATACCCTTTCTCATTGATTTTTTTTATTACCCTGGAGTATCTTCAAAATGATTTCTGTCAATGTACATTAAACTTTAAAAAAAAACTGTTTCTCCAAGAACATTTGGCCTGATCTTTCATCAATATTTTAAGAAATTAAAAAGTACCTTTCATGTTAACTCATCGTTGTCATCAACTACATTTGCCTGTGCATGAATTTTAAGAAATTAAAAAGTACCTTCCATGTTAACTCAGCCTTGTCATCAACTACGTATGCCTGTATAAATAAACATCAGCTTTGGACTAATTTCGAGGGAAGTACTAATCGGTAAATTTCCTTGAGCTTAGGCTACTGGAGAAAGCCTCTTTTTATAACTTCAAAGAAATATCTGTTAACCAGACTCTTTTGAGATTATACTGGATGAAAATTTATTTATTTCCTCTTTTAGTACGCCTCGTCTTCGTCCGTTTGAAGGTCGAGACAATCAAAGATTCTCTGAAACTCAGATTAATGCCCTGCCACAGGACATATGTGCTGTGCTGGGGATCGCATCCATGACCGTTGCATTTCAATTCAATTGCTTAAACCACTCGACTACGACACCCCTACAGAAAAGGAGAGGGAAAGAAACGTGCTAACCAGATGCTTTTGGGAATGGTTTGGACTGGATGAAAATTCAGTTTATTTTTTTACTGTCACAAAAAATGGTCTTTGTAGACAGGTTCCTTTAGTACATGTTTCAATGAGAAACCATTTTCAAGGGAAACAAAAAATGTGGTCTTTGTAGACAGGTGGTCACTAAAGCAGGTTTCACTGTACTATACCTCATCTTCGTCTGTTTGATGGTCGAGGCAATCGAAAAGTCCCTGAAACTCTGATGATGTAATCACTCCACCTATATTGCCATCCAGCTCCTAAAAATAAACATACAAAAATGATTGCTCCCCCATTCCTCAATCTTTATTTCCTTCATAGTAGTACCTTGTAATGAATTTCTCAATGGCCTATGCTGATCCCTCGCATCCACCACCCTTCATCCTTCTTTCATAGTACCACGTCAATGAATGTTTTTATTTTTATATTGTTTAATTTATACTGATTTGTTTGTATATCTTCTGATTTTTTTTTTAAAGAGATGTGAAATTAAATTGAATGTCTCCCTTTAGTGAATTGCTGTTTGTCATAAATAATACTAATCATTAAATGATTATTAGAATTTGTGGATGTTAGACGAAATGGGCATTAGACAAACTGAGAATTAGACAAGCTGAGAATTAGACCAACTGAGCGATAGATCAAATGGGTAGTAGACTTATTGGAAATTAGATCAAATGGAAATTAGACCAGATGACCATTAGCCTAAATGGTCATTAGCCCAAATGATAAGTAAATGAAATTATTATTAGACCAAACGGCTATAAACCTCTCCTTTTACTAATGTTTGTGCATCATCTTTTGATCCAGAATGCTATGAATTACACATAATACATGCGCAGATAACACCCGACAAAAACACATAAATTTTAAAGTCTATTTCCAATGCAGTACATTGCGCTGTTCTCGAATAAGAGCGATTTAATTGTAACTAATCTCTAATGTCTCTAAATTAACAACACAGTGTAAAACATGAAATCGCTATTTTGAGGTAGAAATTGGCATTATATCAGTTAAATTTTTCAGCTGCCAATTAGCATTTTTTCTTCTTCAGATGATGAAGGAATGGCAATTACGATTAATTGTCACCATTTAGAGGAGGGAAAAAAGAGCAATTTAGAAAATAAGAAAACTATGTCATCCAAGAGGTTTATCTTTACACCGTGTTTGCCAAAACGTTTTGTTGTGTAAAGCCTATGTCCCCTCTCCTCTCTCTCCTCCCCTCCCCAGTTACAAGAACAATTAACAATACCCCAAAACCCTACCCACTTGATAAAATAACCTGCATATATCCCCTAATACCACTTAAGGCAACTAGCACCTCCCGTCCTTAACAATTAAATCCGCGAAATGTACCCATCTTAAAAAAATCACCCAGACACTTTAGCATTCCATAATTGATTAGGGGGAAATAACTAGTGGGCTTCCAGGAGAATCTTTGCATGGGTTAGGTATTCTGGAGCTTACAGGGGGATGTTCCACAAAGGCTAAGATCAACTTTAAGTTGGACTTAACTATGGCAGGCCATTCATGCCACGTTTCCTCTCACCATTCTTTCGATAATATTTTGTCCTTCAATAATAGACTATCAATAAATGTAAATTCTGTAGATTTGCCACCATGATTTGTAACGTCCCTAGAGAAACCAATGCAAGGAATGGTTAGAGAAACTAGTGGCACGAATGGCCTGCCATAGTTAAAGGTAAAGACCAGTATTGGAAACGCCCCAATTTCAAAAAATGGAATTGAAGCTCTCATTACCAATCATGTGAAAGAATATGTTTTGACTAATACATGATGATAAAAAATTTGCCGGGAAACCGCCTACTAATTCATATATTTGGTAAATTTGTTTCTCTCATGGTCTGTGAGAGATATAGGGTAGTCCCATATACATCTTTCTGTGTATAGTGCTTGTAACTTTACGAAGAATGGGCCAAATTTCTTATCATTTTGATGATTCCAGAACCTTGCAGATGCTAGATGCTAGATGATCAGCCCTTTCTGATCGATTCCACAACGTTTCTTTCACAATGCAATCGCATGACCATAACTGGTCTTTACCTTTAAGTCCAACTTATTAAAGTTGATCTTAGTCTTTGTGAAACACCCCCTGGATATATTGCTTAAGATGTAAGTTTTCAGAAATGAAATGAAAAATGAATCAATAAATGAATTTATTACTTGTAAAAATGGATAGGCAGATTCACATTGATGTTTATTTCATATTGTAATTTGTAGCCGTATTTGTAATTTTGTTTAAAGGTAATACAAAGTTTTGGGAAATTTTGAAAATTGGGTGGATAGTGATTCTTTACAATTTTGATATATTTGGATGCCCCTGTTGATGTGTTATAAGCACTAGAAAATTTAGCCCCTAAAACACTTCTGCTTTCGAGAAAAATTGAATATAAAAATTTACCGATGCTCCCGGTAAATTTTGATAAATTTCAAATAGCGCCTACGGCCGTACAATTGTAGCTGCGACCATGAAAATCTCAGAATATGTAGTTGTGATATATAATTTCCAAACGGTAATAGCTAATTGCTCGATTTTAGTAAAGAAACATTGTTTTTTATAGCTTAATTAATATCTTGACCTTGAGAGGGAGCTATACAATAAAAAGAGTTTATTATTTATAATTTCATAACTTTAGACTCGATTTCAACCGCGTCAACGATCACTGCATATTGTAGGATCGCATATGCTTCCAAATATGTACATTTAAACCAGATTCATGACCCCATACCAAAACTTTGTATTACCTTTAATATGTAACTGTTTATTATTGTATTTTGTTTGTTATAGCGCTTAGAGACTTCAGTGGTAAGCGCTTTATATGCACCGTTTTTATAATATTATTTTAAGAGGTTATTAACATTTGTATACCTGCATTCATATTTGTTTCTTCTTGATCAATTGGTTTTTCAAGAAATCCTTTGCGATATTCAACCTTTTCAACATTTCAAATATTCAAAAACGTTATTAATGCTCAATTTAAAAGCATATAATAGTCTTTTTAACAAGCTAGACAAATTGAACAACGATCTCATGAAATTCACTGGCGCAAAGAATGTCAGGCGCTCGACATACTTACTGTTAAAATGGTCCTTTTGGCTCTCTTTGGTATACTAGCTTGGAGAACCACGGACTTGACCACACTCACACTGACTGTGCATCTATTCAAATATGTGAGAGAGAGTGCAAGAAAATGGGAGAGGAGATGAGAGAGGGAGAGTGGGGAAGGAAGGATATATATATATATATAGAGAGAGAAATGGATCCAGAGCAAGAGAGAGAGAGAGGGGGGGGGGGGGGAATGGGGAAGGGTAACAGGGAGAAAGATGGTGAGAGAGATAGAGGGAGAAAGAGTAGAGGAGCGAGAAGACAGAGTGAATTGAGAGATAGAGAGGGGAAGGAAGGATATATATAGAGAGAGAAAGGGATCCAGAGCAAGAGAGAGAGAGAGGGGTGGAAGGGCAACAGAGAAAAAGAAGAAGGCGAGAGAGAGAAAGACAAAGTGATAGAGGAAGGGAAAAGAGAGAGAAAGAGAGAATTAGAAAGAACAGGGGAGGTAGAGGACAGAGAGATAGAGAGAGAAAGAGAGATCATTTAGATTTATCTATTTGAACATACATGTATGCCTTTTGAAAACTTAATAGTACCGTGATATTTATGAGTATGCATGGTTGAAATCTAACATAAAACTTTTGTGCTCATCCCCTTTCCACAGAATAAATCAATCTCAATAAAGCTTTTTGGGCAAAATCTTTTATATTTAAGCATTTGGTGTCACCTGTGCTTGGGAGACGAAAAGCAAACTAAATCACTGTAACGCTCGGGTCTCCCCTACCGGTATAACTGATTGGGGGTGTGCAGGTGGACCACTAAACCCGGGTTTCCCCCTACTCTTATACTATAGTACAATGAGTCATTAATGTGCAAAGGTGGTGACTCTCCTCTACACAGGGCCTCCATAAACATCCTATCTGAGGGAGGCGAAGTATTTTCCACTGTAACAGAGCCTGCGTCTATGAAACAGAGGAGGGGCGCGTTAACACACAAGGGTTTTAGTCATTCCCCTGCATTGGATTCGAACCGACAATTTTAGAATCGCCAGGCAGATTCTAAACCCACTAAGGGTGCGTTCAAGCGATTTTTTGAAGCTAGAATCACAAACATGAATCAAAACGCTGTTACAAAACTTGGTTACTGCGGAAGATCGTTCAAGCGATTTTCCATCATCACTGATTCTCGCTCATTTCAAGCCCAGTCACTGCTCATCACACTGCAGTTTGACCAAGGAAGTACTATAAAGGTCTTCTTCAGCGAGCGCTTTCTGAATTTGTTTAAGGTCGACTGTCGGCAAAACCGGAAGCAGACCTCGATAATGACGTCATAGAATCATGATTGAGATCTCCGTTTCCTACAAGCGAATCATGTTACAAAACGCATCTTTTTCAGCGTTTGCGTTTTGAAACCCGTTTATTTTTACGACCGACAAAGAATTGCTTGAAATCGCTTGAACGCAACCGTGTTTTAAACTAAATGTCTTTGAAAACCGCGTTTCTAGGGTGAAAAAGTGTCGCTTGAACGCACCCTGAGCCAACTCACCTTTCAATACTTCCGTTGACCGTTCTGATTTGGGCTCTCAACATCTCAAAGGCTGCCTGAAATCCCAGTCTTCTACGGAAGTGACTGGACTGCATTGACGTCTGGTAAAAGAAGAGAATACAATCACTACACTCTTCAATTTGGCAACACCAATAATTTTTTTTTCCCTGCAGCAATGAATATCATCAATTATAGCAAAACAGAAATTTGTTCGTACAGGATAATTATTATCTATTTGTTCGAATGATTTTGAACAAACTCTTATCCACTAGTCCACGGGACCTCTTCAATTGAGGACTGACTTTTCACCATTTTTTTCATTAAAGGTGGTTTCATTACTTGAAGTCACTTCAACCTCTCAGACTTTGTGTCATATTTCAGTAGGGATTTGGCATTATCTTTCAATTTACAATGCTTACTATGGCTTATTGCTGTTTGGTCTACACCCAGCCCGCCACTATTCACATGGTCTAATAATCATTTCGTCTACTTATCATTTGGTCTAATGACCAATTTGGCTAGTAGTCATTTGGTCTAGTTTTAGTAGAAGGAAAAGGGGGAGGAAATCTCGCAAGATACATAACAGAGTTGCCAATGTGTGTGTGATTGATGGCATCTTCAAAAATTCATAACTTTCTTATTTTTAATTGGTTTTTGCTCAAACTTTCATTGACCTGCTTCTCTCATTTTTCTACTATTAAAACCAACTAAATATCAGGGTGGACTTCCCCTTTAAGACCTTCAGGAAATTTAACACTTCTTGGGTTTTACTTACAATTAAATATCCTCTGAATTCATTATAGATGACAGCAGTAAGCATATTGAAGAAAAGGTAGAGACCTGTAAAATACAAAGTAAAAACAAACAAACAAAATGAAATACACTCAGCAGAAAAAGAAGAAGAGGTAAACACTCATTATTGTTCAACATTTTCATTTAAACTATCAATAGAATATAATAAAACATATCAAATACATGTAAAAGAAAAATTCATACTCTACACAAATTAATTAAAATTAGGTTTTGAATGTTCACGCTTGGATGGGCACATTTATTTAACCGTTAAAGGGTCTTATTCAGAACATTTCAAAAACAGAGAAAAGAACCATTCAAATGTCAATAAATATGTGCATTTTTAAGACATTCTTGTTCAAGAATGAAAACAAAGAATGAGAAACAAAGAGGATAGAGTTTGGGATGTCAACTGTTGTCTGAGGTAAAGCTGTGCATAACCGTGTAATGAGGCTTACAGGTGAATACTCAAATATTTGGACGCCATATTTTTTTAAATTTTTTTTTAAAAATTGTTTTGCCACCACCATCCTACGGTTGAAGTATCCTAGGTCCGTCTCCGAAAACTCACGCTATTTTACTTTGAGTTGCAGTTGAAGATGCCGATTCAATAATAATAAAAGTAGTAAACAATGCTGTTTTTAAAACCAAAGATGATGGACTACTTTTCTTCCAAGTCCAAACAGAAATCCGGACATTTGGTCCCAGTTTCTGAGTGGTGAGTTGACAGTGATTGAGCTGGAAACATTTTTACCCAAGAGTCGGCCTGGACAGTGCCAGGGAAAAAGAAAAAGAAATATTATTTTATTTTCTTGGTGCCCGATTATTCGAGTACGAGAAATCGTACTCGTACTCGAGTAGTTGTCAGCAGTGCGGCGAGTACTTGAGTATTCACGTACTCGTACTCGAGTTGTTGTCAGCAGTGCGGCGAGTACTTGAGTATTCACGTACTCGTACTCGAGTAGTTGTCAGCAGTGCGGCGAGTACTTGAGTATTCACGTACTCGTACTCGAGTTGTTGTCAGCAGTGCGGCGAGTACTTGAGTATTCACGTACTCGTACTCGAGTAGTTGTCAGCAGTGCGGCGAGTACTTGAGTATTCACGTACTCGTACTCGAGTTGTTGTCAGCAGTGCGGCGAGTACTTGAGTATTCACGTACTCGTACTCGAGTTGTTGTCAGCAGTGCGGCGAGTACTTGAGTATTCACGTACTCGTACTCGAGTTGTTGTCAGCAGTGCGGCGAGTACTTGAGTATTCACGTACTCGTCTAGTCTCAGGACTGCATGGTTTAGACAAACTAGACATGACGCCTCTCCTGTGCACCTAAGATCGTCGACGAGACATAGGATACCTCCAATGCTCATCAATATTAGAATGGCAAGATGTCCCATTTGCATAATTTTCTTTTAGAGACTCCTTTGTGTTTAAATGGCTATGCTCACTCGTGCACGTAAGGTACATGTATGATTGCATATCACGTTTAAGAGGATCAATTTATTTCCTTTTTTTTATATATGAAAGGTAATTTTTATATCCAATATTTATTTAGTGTTTTTTTTTTGTGTGTGTGTGTATTAAAAAACAAGTACAGAATGGTTTAACAAATGAAATAATTTCACACAAGAACATTTTGAGGTTTTGCTAATTCAAAGCTTTAAACTGACAGTCCTGTGCAGACATAGCTAATACAGTCAAATTACCATACATGCCAACATTTGAAAATCAGAAATCTGTACAAATTATGCTATTTTCAAAAAAAAGAGGAACAATCCTAACTCTCCTATTCAATACTATAGACAAATTTGTACAGGAAGAGGAACACCTGCATTAAAATGATAATTATCTTCTCCCAAAAAGAGGAATGTTCCTCTTTAATCTGAACAGTTGGCATGTATGAAATTACCACTACTCAACCTTGTAATGTAACATTATGAAAGGAGGTCTTCATATACCGATTTTTTTTTCTCTCTCTCTTTCTCTCTCTTTCTCTCTCTCTCTCTCTCTCTTTCTCTCTATTTCTCTTTCTCATTCTCTTTCTCTCTTTCTCTTTCTCTCTCTCTCTCTCTGTTTGTCTCTTTCTCTCTCCCCCTCTCGCTCTCTCTCCTCTGGAAGGGTTAAGGGGACTCACCAATTCCAAGAAAGATGATGAAGTAGAGAGCGTAGAATCTGTTGTTCTGATAGGCGGGCATAGTAACTAAAAGAAGAATAATAATATCATAATATAAAAAACGCTCAAGGAAAATCAGATACAAAATTAGAAATAAGTGAAGAATTAAGTTTGTGATCGATCAAACACAAACTGGCAACTCTGTGAAATATCTTGCAAGCATCTTTCTCATTTGCTATGTACATAAATTTGTATATTATCTGAATAAGAAAATACATTGTCATATACCGGTATGTGCCTGGACTGAAGTAGTGCACATATACATGTATGTTGTTACACAATCCCTTATATGAAAAATATCTTTTCCTTCATCACCCATTAAAATTATGAAATTATGAAATTCATGAAATGTACACCGCTCCCTCAAACATTTTATCATGATTGCTTGTATTTTCAATTTGCCATTCATGTAACCTGTAAGCCTGATTTAGAAGATAATTTTGTGTTTTGCCCATTTCTGATTTCAAATATCAAATAACAGGGCCCTGTCGCATAAAACTTACTATTGATGGTAACTTTGCCATCAATGGCAACTACCATGGTAACAGGGCTCAACAGCCAATCAAAATCCAGGTTTCCATGGTAGTTACCATTAATGCAAAAGTTACCATCAATGCTAAGTTTTGTGCATCGGGGCCCAGGTGTCCTTCAATAATTATCTAATATTTTTGGAATTCATATCAAGAAACAATTTACATGTTACCTAAAATTAGAATGGAATATTCCAAACCATGATTAAGAACTACACTACTCTATGGGAACTTTGGCATGTTCCACTTACCATCAGGGTTGTTTGCAGTCGTGAGGAGCACGAGGAGGCTCATGAATGATTCACCTATGCTGGCAAAATGCTGCATGCCCTCTTGGAATATCCTAGAATCCACCTGAACAGGAATGCATTTGAGAGAAGTATAATAATATTATATCATGCTTTGTCCATTGCATTTACTTTAAAGGTACAGTAATACAAAGTTTTGGGAAATTTTGAAAATTGGGTGTATAGTGATTCTTTACAATTTTGATATATTTAGATGCCCCTGTGTAAGTATTATAAGCACTAGAAAAATTAGCCCCTAAAAAAATTTCGCTTTCGAGAAAAATTGAACATAAAAATAGCGCCTACAGCCGTACAATGGTAGCTGTGACTATGAAAATGTAGTTGTGATATATAATTTCCAGACGGGAATAGCTCATCCGTCGATTTTAGTCAATAAACATTGTTTTATAGCTTAATTAATATCTTGACCTTGAGAGGGAGCTAAACAACTTAAAGAGTTTATTATTTACAGTTTCATAACTTAAGACTCGATTTCAACCGCGACGACGATCACTGAATATTGTAGGATCGCATATGCTTCCAATATGTTCATTTGAACCAAATTCATGACCCTATACCAAAACTTTGTAATACCTTTAAGAGTAAAATCAAAGAGGATAGTGGAACTCAAGTTGGAAGTCCTACTGTAGCTTGTGCATACATATTTATATCAAGTAGCGTACTTTCAATTCACTGTTGTTACTTATGCTATGGAGGAATACACAACTGTAATGATTAGCAGCCAACTGGAATTTGCTTAAAGAGCGATTCTGTGCAATGTGTCCGATAAAGCGGTGTTTTATTCTCTCTTTCCCTTACCTACATTCCTGTTTTTTCTTGCTCAGCTTCCTTCATTCTTTTTCTCATCTTACTCTGCTATCTCCTCTTACTCTTGTCAGAATGTATCCAACTGTCTGTTAATCTAGTTGATGTATTTGTTTGGTGCACATTTATGTATTCTTATGTTATTTATTGTAATCTCCTGCCAGTGGAGGCAAATTTCTGGGGTTTTTTAACGTGGACAATAAAATCTGAATCTGAATCTGAATACAACAAACTGTATGTCTTTTTTCCCATCCATTCTGTCCCAAAAATAAAGCTCCCTACATTAAAGCATATAAAACGTTTGTTAATAATGGTTTATATTGAGAGATTTTCATTATGAAATATGTGCAAGTCTTACGCCGTACGAACACGTTGCATGGCATCACCCACAAGATCGAAACCTCTAAACGTTAGGCTTCCTAGGGGAAGTTTCAATTGTAATTTATTTATTTATTTATTTATTTTATTTATTTTTTTTTTTTTGGGGGGGGGGGGGGGGGGGGGGAGGGGGCTTGCACCAAAAAAGATTGCGTACTCTTCCTTGTAATTGAAAACAATTCAGAAAAAAAATGTAGGGACAGTGGGATTAGAACCTGCCATCCACTGCTTGAAAATTCTCCCAGGAAGAACTCAAAGCTACATGTATCGTCCTAATGGCGGACTAATGAATATTAATACAGTCAAACCTGCTTTAGTGACCACCTGTCTACAACAAGCACTTTTTTGTTTCCCTTGAGAAAGGTTTCTGATTGAAACATGTACTAAAGGAACTTGTCTACAAAGACCACTTTTTGTACTTCCCTTGGGCGGTCGCTGTAGACAGGTTCGACTATAATTTGGAATGGGTCAGGAGAAGCGAGGTATTTGTTTTTAGTTCATCGTGACCCTTTTCCATGGACCAGTGATGGTCTGGTGATGAGGATCAAAACCCTAGTGCTTCCTTTTCTTTGGTTCACAGAGCAGATGTAAGATTAAATGATAAATCTTGGTAACACTCGAGTCTCATCACTTCCCACACCCCACCCCCTTCTCCCGGATAAAGAGAGAAAAAACAGGTAAAAGGAGGGGAGTAAAGAGAAAAAATGAATCCATGTCATGATTTAATCTTGCACATAACTGTATACATATGAAACTTACTATTGTTGTATCATTAACTATCAAACTCGTCTGATTTGAAGTCTTGTTGTGGAGGACAGAGGGTTTCTGCAAAAAAATGAGAATAAAGATATAATAAAGACAAGTATTACAGTAGGGTTGAGTATTCTTTTTTTGTAACCAGTAAGTTATCAAACTAATGTATGCAAGGCAGTTTCATTCAACCATGATGTGAAATAGTCAATTGTTTCGACGATGTCTCTTGGTGCTTTACAGATATATTATTATACCATCATTGGATTCAGTCTTGCGGGCATTCAATGTATGCACATTCTCCATTCCCTGGGGAGCAATCAAGCCCGGTGCCATTTTAAAGATGTTCACAGTGCTGAGTGAACTACAATATTTTTCAGATCCTATCTGGTACCCATTAACACCTGGGTGGAGAGTGGCAAATGAGGATTAATCTCTTGCCAGGCTGGGATTCAAACCCTTGACCCTTGGATAATAATAATATGGTTACTTATATAGCGCCGGTATCTGTCAGGCTCTGACGCTCATGGCGCTTTACACATATTACCCTTGTCGTAGCCGGGCTGCCAAAGTAACTAGCGCTCAAGCATATCAGGTACCCTTTTACACCTGGGTGGAGAGTGGCAAATGTAGATTAACGTCTTGCCAAAGGACATTAGTGCCGCGGCAGGACTTGAACCCTGTAACTTGTGATCTGCAGTCGGGAGACTTATCCACGAGACCACAACACCTCGACACCTTGTATTGAGAGTCAACTGAATAAACTACTATGCCATGACACCTCTTGAAGGTTTTACTTACCAGGTCTCCATCTGGTCTAGGAAACAGTAGCATGCCAAACATGGTGAAGAAATAGATGTGTATCAGAAGAAGTAGGATCACACTGTCACAAGAAAAAAGGAATAAAAAAATGCAATAAATTAGTAATGATTATTAATCTCCTTCCGGTCTAGGAAACAGATGTGTATTGGTAGAAGTAGGATAACACCGTCACGGAAAGATTCAACAACATAATGAAGACACATTTCTTTGAACTAAGGTGCGATTGTCCTTAGGCAAAGTATCGTTCTTGTACCCAACAGAGATAACAGTATCAATATAACAACTAAAGTGATAATCCGCACTTTTACAATAAATTGTTCTCACAGTGCTGATGTCTAAATTAAATTGGAAATTGTCATTGACAGGCAGACCCAAATAATTATGCTGATGAACCTCTATCGATGATTTTATTGTCATTTGGGATCGCTTGTAAAGTAATTTTCATAGGTCAAACCTCAAAGATAATACAGTCAAACCTGCTTCAGTGACCACCTGTCTAAAAGGACCACTTTTTTTGTTTCCCTTCAAAACGGTTTCTCATTGAAACATGTACAAAGGATCCTGTCTACAAAGACCACCTGTCGACAAAGACCACTTTTCGTGTTTCCCTTGGGCGGTCGCTGTAGACAGGTTTGACTGTATCTGCGAACCAATAGTTTTAGTCCTTCAACATGACTTCTATGCGTCAGGTATTAAAATAAATCCTGACCCAGTTTACTATAATGTACCTTGCTACTTTTGGCATGGTGTTTTTGATGCTCCTCACGGTTTTCTTCATCAACTGGGAGTTCTGGATGAGGAAGAATGGGCGGAGGAAGCGGCGAATTCTATACAGCTCATCGCAGACGAAGTTGATAGTGACCAGCCAATCGATGAGAGAGAAAGCCATAACGACGAGGTAGGCAACCAGCCACTTGCTCTTCCTCAGCTCTGAAAAACCTATCAGATAAATCTTTTTTTAAACAAGTGAAAAAGGAAGAGATGTGAACATTTTAACATTATTTATATGATTTTATTCATATTATTATGAACTTAAAGGGATAGTCGAGTTCTGTTTTCAGACCGCAAATGCCTTCAAAGTGCATGGTTATTGCTCTTATTCTTATCTTTGACATTTCTAGTGCTCTTTTAGGACCTAAAATTGCTTTGAAGGTAATTTTAGACCCCATAATGTGTGAAATTTAGCCATTACGATCATACCAATTCAGCTCCACTTTTAAAAAATACGGTGACTGTTAATTAATTGATCAAAAATATCAATATATGGGCCAGCTGGTTGTGTGTAATATAACCAACATGAAAAAGTAATACTACAAAAATATTTGTAGTGGTACACAAGTATTAGAAACCGTTATATTTGTGGATACTTCAGCTGTCTCTGAACCGATTTTGATCAAACAAAGATGATTTTGTCATTTAAATCGTATGTTCTTTCAAATTTGACACTCACTTTTTCATTATCTCACAAACAAATTATTTTGTGAAGCGCCCTCTGCAACAGAACTCAACTATCCCTTTAATGGTCTAAAAGAAACAAAAGTTGCACAATCATGAAATGTAGATTTCAAACAACGCCTTGCTATTATGCATAGATTTGCCGTCAGATAGCCTCTAATACAACCCCCCCCCCCCCCCAACCAGGTTAACATTATTATATCTAGTTATTATTATTATTTATTAGGCCAATCTTAAAAAGCACAATACAATTTGACAGATCCTGAATATGGTAACAAAACAAGAAGAAAAGGGAGGGAGCAACGCTTGGGCCAGGACTCACTAAAGAGAAATTCAACACTATAACCCAGAGGCATGTGAGTAATTCATTTCCACACTAATTTTTGCTGTAGAAGATCTCTTTTTTATAGTTTTTTTTTCTTCCAAACGCTTCATGTCTAAACGGGGCTGTAATATTTTCATCTCACCTTGGTGCACACATCATATAAGAAGATGAGGAGACAGGCGAACTCGATTCCCTCTGTCACACCGCAGGGTGCATGGATGCGGTCGCCACGGTAACGGGGGTCAGAGCTGCTGCCGGTGGTGAGGGAGGATGGGGGCTCGAAGAAAGCAAGGACCAGGATGGTGAAGATCGCTACATAGAGGGTCCTGAAAATGTAAAGGTGTGTGGGGAGGGGGAGGGGGAGGGGGAAGGGGGGGGGGGGGTAGAAAGATCAAAAATAAGTTAGCTTAATCTTGTTTCTGAGAATTTTTGTTTACCCTAATCATTTCAGTGTCACCGTACAAGTGATGTTTAACAAATAATTATAATGTTATTATTGATTATCATGATTTGTATAATACATTTTGACTTAAAGTTAAAGATAAAGTTGAGTTCTGGTCATGCGATTGCATTGTGAAAGAAACATTGTGGAATCGATCAGAAAAGGTTGATCATCTAGCATATAAGTATTGGTGTGTACTGCAAGGTTCTGCAGATGATGTGACCCCCCCCCCCCCCCAGCTCCTCCATAGAAAGCTTATAATCAGGGAACTGTGTTTTTGCTGTTACCTGTCTTAAATAATCTTTAATAGCTTAACAGTTTCCTGACATGGCCAAGCATGTTTATAAAATAATTTTACCCAAACACTGGGTACATGTAAAGATGGTCAAGCACCAAGTAGAGAAAAGGACTCCAAGCTAGCATTTGGAAGCTAGGGGCCCGGATTGAACATTTTAGAGTCATGAGGCCTAGACATGTACATGTTTATATATATATATACAAATTTCAAACTTTTACTCATACTCATTTCCCCCAATAGACTAGTGTTTATGATGTAATCAAGTTAGAATATGTTGATTGATATTATTACCAGTCTCTTTTTTATGTTACAGATTATATCATGCTTTGTGTGGTTTTGAATAAGATGAACTGAACTGAACTGTTATAAAAGCTGTTCAAAACCGTCCAGAAAACGATTTGTGAAATTTTGATTTCTAATCATAGATATCTTTTAATTAGACAGGCGATCGGCTGGTAAAAGTCATGGGATTCCTGACTGACCTAAAGATTCATTATATTATGATTGCAGCATGAGATAAATCCAGGATTTTGTTTAGAATCTGAGGCAGAGATACCCAATCCCTTATAATGTTTGGTCAAATAAATAATAATAATATTAAAGAAAAATTATGTTAAAAAATTATATTATAATTATGAAACTGGTATGAAAGCTAGGCAATAGCAAAAATTTCTGTCAATAGGCGCGTCTTCATCATCACGAGATTGACAAATAGCCCGCTATTTTTGATTTGGGAAATAATCCCGAAGTTACAAATCGCGTCTTCATCAGCTCGAGATTACGACCTCGAAAATTTATTTTGCAAACTATCCCAAGATATCTTGGGATGACGATTCCGACCAAATATCCCGCTAATCGCTACTTCAGTCTAATGAAGACACAAATTAGCTGGATAGTTTGCGATCGAGATAGTTCAAATAGCTGGATATTTGGCAATCTCGAGATAGTGAAAACAGGCCTAATGTTCCTTTGAGCCCAATGTGAGTCATGTTGATTGTGTCTTGCTGTCAACATAACCCTATTGTTATGATATTATTCAAACCGGCATTGATATCAAAATCAATGAACTACATCAGAATTCTTTAGTCATTCTTTAGTCTATATTTATACAGGGGATGTGGTTGGTTTGTTGCTGACTATGTGAAACCCATGCCACACATTCAAAATATGCAGTGAACTACATGTACATGTATGTAGAGTTTTAAAGGGAAAGCCCCACTGCACTACTTGTAGCTACTTGCTCTCTCTATATAGAAAACAATGCCTAAGCGGTACCCGTTGGTCCCCCATGATCCTCTTTTTTAAAATGTTAATTGAGAGCTGATTCGACGGGATAACTACCAGGCAGTGACCACGCTGGGAGATCGAATCCCTCCCGGCCAAACTAGTGCAGACAGGCTTTAAAGGAAAATCCATAAATAATAAATCCATAGTTGTGTGCAACATGTACAGTGTTTTGTACAGTATAAACACTTACATTACATTAGTGATAAGTTTAATGTGCCGTCTAATGACAAGAAACATTTTAATTTGAATTCTCTATCTAACGTGTGGCTGTAAGTTCTGTTCAAAGCTAAACTGAGAAAAGGGAAGGATCTCTGTATTTGATCAAATATAACCTTCTGTTATGTTGTTATATTAAATTGTATTAAATCTTTTTCTGCATTCATTGAATCAACTTAATACCATCAGCGTGGATTCACCCAGCACCCCCCCAAAAAAAAAAATTTAAATTAAAAAAAATAAATAATAAAAAAATAAATAAAAGAAATTAAAAAAATCCTGTCCTAAATTCTGTAGATTCCATACGACAAAGGTGCAGTTTAGTGCTACAGACATACATGTGTAAAGCTGACATACCGGTACTTGTTTGCCTTAAAAGTACAAGGTTATGTGCAAGTAACATTACACGGAAGGAAGTAACAATACATCCTTCCTGAATTTCCTTCTTTCAAGCATTTCGGTTCGTTCTTTGTTTTTTCAAGTAACAAATGCTTAGCTTTGTGAAGCCATATACCGGTAGATAATTTAGATACCGTAGCTAAAATAAATGTGCAAGGGAGTATTCAAAAGGCTAGCTGTTTGATCGATTTTGACAAGACATTGACCTACATTTGCCACTCTCCACCCAGGTGAAGTGAATAGGTAACTTGTGTTTGATACTCCAAGTAAGGTCTTGCAAAAGGACCAAGGCTCAAAATACACGGGGACGATGGGCGATTCGCCTCCGTGAGCTTCATAATCGCCTCCGTCAGATTGCTCACGGAGGCGAGTGCAAAATTAAAAATCGCCCCCGTTGGACTACACAATTTTAGATAATCTTCTCTGTTATAACTTTCACACAATATTGAGTTTCAACTTTCAAACCTAAAGGCCCGGTCACACAGAGGAGACGCATGGGGGGCGCACACCCGGCGCATTAAAAATCAGAAAAAGACGGGATTCCGACTTTTGTCAGGATTTGGGAGAAGCTAGCGAGCTGACACAGAATGCATAGCGTGTTGACGGGTGCTGCGGGTATGTGTGTCTGGCGTTGGTCTAGCGCGCCCCGCGCATGTCTGGCATCCTTTTGGCCTGTACATTCATGCGTCGAGCTCCGCACACACTTTGAGCATGCTCAAAAAACCCAGACACACACAGAGAATGACGACGAATGCATAGCGTTGGTCCAGCGTTGGTCCAGCGCGCTCGACGAACGAGTAACGAATGATGATGCACACCTAGCGAACGACAACGCACTGGCCAAAATTGCAAATTTCCAATGCGCTGGCCGTGCGTCCCCCATGCGTCCCCTCTGTGTGACCGGGCCTCTGAAATGGAACTATGGAATAAATTAGGTTACCCCGTGCAGGATTTCTCGCTCGAATTTTTGGTGTCTAGAGGCTGCCATATTGTAAACAAATGAACGCCGCAAGATTGCGCTGTATCTCCCATCTCAACATCTCTATGAGTATTACAGATAAAAACAACGGAAGCTCGCAATGCACTGCGGCTGTCAGCAGTGGCAACACTAGCTGCGCCGGTAGTATACTGGTGTGCGCGTTGCCGCCCAATATCTGCTGGAGCTAGATAGAGGCGATCGTGCAAGGACCAAAACATAGGGAGGTTTTTCGTTGTAAAAATCATGAATCTTCTGAAACCTGGTGATTCCAAAAGACCAGCAAATAATGAACCTCGACCAGTAAATCAACTTAAAACTAATTTAGTAAAAGGAAACCAGTTGGCGCGGAGGCGACTGTACGGGCTTGGACCAACAAATTTGTACAGAGGGAGGAGATCTGACCATTAGCTGCGTGTTATGATTACTTGTAAAGTTGTAAGAGGGAAATAATGCTGATAATGATGAAATAGCAAAAAAAATAGGAGTATCATGGTTACCACGTATTCAATGGAAATTTGTATTAAATTTGAGCCCTGAAAAGGCCAGACATGTAAGTGCAGCGGCAGGACTCGACCCGCAAACCATGTGATCCTTGTTCTGTGACGTATCTACTACTAGACCACAACACCCGTCTACATGTACCGGTAGTCCAGAATCTGGCCGGTTCTTCATATTATATTTCCTACAACTGATTCAAGCCGCCGAAGATGCCGTTATGAAGGAGCTCATAATTATGCTCACCAGCCCATTTTTCGTCCCAATTTAATGATCCTGCCATCTTCGGCTGGTAGCAAGTAGGGAGGGGTAGGTAGCATTGGTGTGGTGGAGATCAAAATTAAATAGGCGAGATTCTGACCTACTCTACATATGGCAAAGGTAGACTGTGGCATTTAACCGATTGTTCAACTACCGTATTTGCCGGCGCTAAGGCCGCAGCGCCGCATAGGCCGCACCCCCAACTTTGACATTTCAAAGAGGAAATAAAATCAAACGGACAAAACAAAATAATCATAATTTTCTTGTAAAACATTATTTTTTTTTACAAACTGATACCAAATTCATCAATATTCTTATAATTTACCGGAAGTTTTTTCATGGTTTTTGACTTGCGTTTTTTTTTTTTTTACTCTTTCGCTGCAAAGGTCGCATCCCGACTTTTTTGATATTTTCTCTTCCAAAAATACTGTGGCCTTTACGCCGGCAAATACGGTAGTCTATACTACAGCAAGCAAAGAGTTATGTGAAGCAAAAGTTAACTGTGGCATTCCAGCGATTGTTCCATCAGTTTACTAAAGGAAGCAAAGAGTTAAATTGAACGACCTTACCACTGGATTGGCCTGGAGTAGTAGACCCGGTAGTACCAGAGAGAGAAGGGGTCTATCTTGTGTTTGATACTCCTGAATTTGACAGCATCTTCGACAAAGACCACAGCTTGCAAAAGAGCCTTGGGATCTAAACACGTACAGAATAGACACAAAAATACATTTCAAGTTCAATTTAGGCCAAAAAAAAAAAAAAAACATGTTTAGCGTCCTGTTTTTTCGAAACATAGAAAGGAGGAGGCCCTTTTCTTTTTTCTTTTTCTTTCAAAATGGCCGCTCAAAATGGCTGCTCGGTACATTTTCCCTGACATTCGGGCAATTTTTCAAGATGGCATCCGACTATTTTTTTTTTTTTTTTTTAAATCAGAAATAGGTCTAGATCCATTTTAGCAATGTTTTTCATGTTTTTCTTCTTTTAAAAAAAAAAGAAAAGAAATAAATTTAAAAAAAAGAAAAAAAAAATAGGAGGCAGCCCCCAAAAAGGAAGCGGGCGGGGACGCTAAACATGTATATTCTTTACATGGCCTTAGCTGTCCAGTGGACACTAATTGCTGTATTGTTAAGTAAATAGCAAATTGGCAACTCGAGAAACAACTATTTACATGTACAATGCATGTATTTGCGCGTCCGCCAGAACCACCATCGTGAATATTTGTGATAGGTCAGCGTTGTTGTAATGTAGATCCCATGTTAGCTCATTTTCATCAGGAACACCTAGAAGGTTTAACTGTTAAGTGTTAGTTCATAATATATTGCTATCACTCGGACACCGATATCTATTAATTGTCACATGTTCTATGAAATGCTTGAACGATTTCAAAGTGCTTTTTACGAGTAGAAAGAAGAATCTATTAGTATTATGAACTCCAACTCCAACTCCAAAGGTATTTTGCAAGGTTCGTCTGGTGCGGGAATGGGCGATTACGAGCGCATTTTAGATTTTGTTTAAATCACTCTTCACACAGGCAGGGGTATGTGTGCCAATTAAAAATAAGGCTAGCCCGAGCCACCAAGCATGCCAAGGAACCGTCCATATTTATTTATTATTACAAACAAGTCAAAATGTGATTAAAATTTGGTGGCCACCTAGCTATGAATCCGGGCTAACTCGCCCCACGGGACATCTCGCCCCAGCATCAAAGACTGGGTCGAAATGTCCCGACACGATTCATCGATCGAGAGATACCAATGTGTATATTTTTGTGCTCATTGTACATTTTAGACGATATGGCTGATATTGTTCACATTCTTTCGTCCCGGCCGTTAATTAGCAGACTACTGGTATCTCTCGATCGATAAATCATGTCGGGATATCTCGCTGGGGCGAGATGTCCCGTGGGGCGAGTTAGCCCGACTCCCTAGCTATGCCCCAAATATTTATGGACAACCACAGTTTGCGGTGTGTGTACTCGAGCCCTGTCTATTTTCATACTGCAAAACTGTAAGCTATATGAGATATTAATGCAGATTTCGAGTTGAAGTAAAAAGTTGTAAAGTGAGGCAGCATACCGCAATGAGAATCGCTGTCAAAATTCATCAATGCATTGGCACTGGCACTCGACGACCCTGTCAGATATGTCGAACTGTCACTGCGTTCGCGGTCTCGGCCATAAATCGGGTAGACTTTGCGATGAATTGGTTGCTTCTGATCATCATTATCATCGCTCTCATACTCGTAGTAGTCTCCCATTTTGATGACGTTTTATTGTTTTTACTCGTTTGACAGAGATTAATGTTATAAAGAGCAAGTTGAATGCTGACAACTTGTCAGTCTACATGTAGTCCCGTTGCGTCATGTCAGCGATCGCTTATTCGCAAGGTCTTTGATTTAACAATGAGGAGCGCGATGCAGATGTGCTGTGCACTAGCACTGTGAACGTAAACGTAAACATGAGCAGACGAAATATCACGTGCTTAATAACTGAAGCTAGCATACGATTTCTTTGAAAAGAATTCTTTTCGATTTTCAGAATTTCAGAGGTCAGTGGGCGCTTCAAATGTAATAGGAGGCGCCCTTTTAAACGTCATTTTTAGGCAAGGGGCCGCGGGGCTATATAATTTATACCACATTTAGACTGATATTTCAAGCAAAATATTTTGAAGATAGTTAAATGTACACAGGCATATACATATACAAATCTCTATATATAGAGTCTAGGCCGCAAAGATCAGTATCAACATTATATTAGCAGAATCCATTTATTTGGGCAGACATACGTTGGCTCCCCGAAGGCCCTGGGTCCCCCTTCCTCTTCCTTCGTCCCCCCCCCCTCTCTCTCTCTCTCTACATTTTCACTCCCATTCTCTTTCTCTCTCCACCTTTCTCTCTTTTTTCTGCCCACGTTTTCACTCCTCTCAATTCATTGATTCCCCAGCTTCCTTATTTTTCAGCGCATCGTTCATTCACTAGGCCTAAAAGTATGTTTATGATGAGTCCAATATGAATTTTGTTTTTAATTTCCTAGCGACATAAATTCTTGCGTCGTACGTAGAAAAATCTGGGTGGCAACTGGTCGCGCCCCTCCCCTGGGAAAACAATCAGGTAAAATCACGTTAATTTTACCTTTATTTGAAGACGGGCCCCCTCCCCTGGTGCTCAAGGGGGAGGGGGGTGAATTTTTCAAAATTTTGTGGCAAAAAAAAATTAGTGCCCCCCCCCCCCCCACTGAGCAAAATATCGGCCGCTGCGATTTTCAATTTTCGGAGGTAAAAACAAATTAAAAAGAAGTGCTCCATGACCCCCCCCCCCCCCCCCCCGATTATTCACCGGGTGGCTGTTTCGCCGCAAAATATTTTCTCAAAAATTGGGCCCCCTCTTTGGCCCCCTCCCCCCCCCCCTCCCCGTCCCCGCCGAGGCACTTGTTTTCCAAAGGTTCACAATTCAAAGGTTTGTGATTGAAACAGTGGCATAGCGGCTATACAAAGACAGGTCCCAAAGTGTGGGGGATGATTTATGAAAATAAAATAAATTGTATTCATGCCCTCTTTCACACGCACACACACACACACGCAAACGCACACTCAAACACACACACATTCCTACAAATGTGTAATACAAAGAAAAACAATTGCCGAATTTTGAAAAATAGTCAAGATGGCCGGGGGGGGGGGGCATTTTAGGCGCCATTTTATACCCTGCATGAGTATATTGGTACGGAAAGTCATTTGTGCCACACCACGCGTCGTGACGTGTTCTTCTGATCTTTCACCCAAATTTATTTGTAATATAAAGCAATATCTAGTGATTTAATTATGATGAAATTTGATGTTTCAAAACTGACAATTTTTCTTGTTTCCTACACCAACATATACCAAATTCGTACATCATCGGCTTAGTAGTACAAAATCGGCGTATATTATGTTACATAACTTGAGGGTCATTGGTATCTTATTTTAGAGATCGCAGAGCCTAAATAAATTTCATTAACAAATGTTTAATAAGTACACTCTGTAATATTTTGTAGCGGGGACGGAGGAATTCAATGTGATCATTTGAAGTGTCATCAAGTGAAGTATAGAAATTCGGACCCGTGCATTTTCACCATATATATGACATATATATGCGTAGTTATACTTTGTCTAATTCTGATATTCTTTTATTAATGTAGAACGCTGCGAGAAAGAAAAAAAAAATTGTTTCTGTAAAATTCAGGTTTTCTTAATCTACCCAACACCAGCTTAACGGTTAAAAGCCCTCTTAGGTTCAAGTAAAGCATACCATAGCAATGTAGTTCGGTATTTAGATTTATGGGTTTTCACTTATTTTCTGAATTTTATTATGATTCATACATTAATGTGAAATCTTGTTAAAGTGACTCGTTAACATTGTTGAAGGTCGATGAAAAAACTGCGTAAATGTTACTTCTCATATTCCTACTTACCCTCTGACGTGCAAAAAATCCTGAACTAATCCTCAAACCACAAAGATATTTATGGTTTTATTTGAAGGCGTCACTAGTGTGCGACGCCCTCTATAACAGTAAGTTCTCCCAACCATTTTTGAATTTTCCCATAAAAATAAGACACAAGACAGGCTTTTAACACTTAGATGTCTAGAATGGAGCCAATTCATTGTTTTGTGACGATTTAAATTCACCTAAAATGTAATTAAACTGTAATAATATATATAGTTGGGAGAATTAAGGAATAAAATCATCAGATCAGTTTTCCCCAAATCGTTATTATTAATAAGCTTTGTTAGAGTCCGTTTTCACCCAAACTTTCAGATTGTTTTTAATTGACGTCACTACCATCTGAACAATGTTACCAAGTCTCTTTAAGAATGGTGGATCTGAATATAAGGTAAAGTGTCATAAACCGAAGCCAAAATGTTGTTTCAATTTTGTATGCTTCGGTTATATGGCTGTCTGAGTTGTATCAAAGCGGAACGAAGTTTAATGCCCAAATTTGGACATGCTTACACTCCAAATAGTTTTCCATTGTAATTTTACTCTACAGAATTCATTTGACAAACATGTTTTTGAGCTTCTAACCACCCACGCTCTACAGATTACAATCAGTGATCATATTTTATATTTTTTTGTAAATGTAAAACCTACCAGCGTGAACTTCATTACAAATGATTTCAATCAAGGTACGTTTCCTTTCAGAACGTTCCTTTCAAACGTGTTTATATTTCTTCTGTTAGCTTAGTTACAACCCCAGTCGGCGTATGAAATATCTTATTCACCTACGATACTGTGACATGATATAAAGAGTATGCCAATCCGTATATCATGGTATGACTAATAGTAATGGGCATCAGAGATAGATTTGTGTTGTTTCCAGACAAAGTCACTTTTTTTTTGTTTCTCTCTCTGTGTATCAGTCAAGAAATCCATGGTCCATCAGTAAGCCCATGTAGTTTACATGATATAAACTAAGAAAATGAACAAAAAACATTACCCACACAATCGATCGGTTCCACAACCACTGTTTTTAATTTAGAGGAAAAAGAAATCGTTAGGCTGCGAGCAAGGTTACTTGTAGAATATTCTAATGTAGGAAGGTTATTTGGTCTTCAACTTAACACAACCAGCCGCCTTCCTGTACAATAATGATGTAATAATGACATAATTATTTCATGGCTTTATCAATTTTAAAGAATATTAGAATAATCCGTCTTATGTAACACGTCAACATGGTCAATCAGACCATGACGTTAAAACCAATGATCTACTTTAATCACATTTTTAAAAGTCGATTCACCCTCCCGCTACAAGTCAAGAAAGTAATTACCCACATTATCATTGCCAGACTAAAATATAATAACGAGTCTTGAAGGAATCTCCATCTTGAAAAGAATATCCAAAGGACGTCTGGATTCGTTGATTGTTTGCTTGGTGCGTTTGGAACAGCAAACAACATATTTCCTGTACAAACTACCCACGCACCCACCCACACATTCTTTTTTTTGCTTTTCCGTAATTTGTATTCTTATTTTCATTCAATACTAGAACAATACAAATAATTCTTCAAAATATAATTCATTTTCATCATAATAACATAATTCTATTAATTTAATTCAAGTGCAATTCCCAAATTGCGAAAGATTATTTGGAATGAAAACAGTCATGAAATGGAACGAATTATAACTCCCTCCCTTACTTACCAATTACCCCAAACAAAACACCACCCCACACATCCAAAATAGCATACACAAACGCAAACGCACACACACACCTACACACACACATACACACACACACACGCACACACACACACACACACACACACACACACATCCCACATCAATGAGTTCCTCTTCACGCACACTCACAACCACCATGGCTGGAAACAAAAATCTTAAAGAAGAGACAAAGCAAGGCTATAGACCTACATTACGCTTTGATATTTTTTTCTGCTTCATTCGAATTTCATGAATGTTTTCTTAAACATTGTGGAGCAATTATCGTTGAGTTAAAGTCCTAATTTTAGTATTAATTTCCTTAGGTTTAGATACTAATAAAGACAAAAATGTATCAAAATCATAATAAAAATAAACTCGAATGTACAATTTCAAAACATAATCAAATAGTTACTGGAAAACCAAAGCCTGGCATAACCTTAAAGCCCCAGTCCCATATAAAGCCGGACCAGCACGGACGAGCACGGACCACTCCGGACCATCCCGGACCATGGTCTGGGGTGATCCGGGATGGTCCGGGATGTTTTGTTCAAAAAATCGCAACCGCCGACCGTCTCCCCGGACCCAACACGGTACCACTACGGACCGCCCCGGACCGTCCGGGCATAGCCCCGGCAGCAGTACAAATCATTCCAGACCCAGCACGGAGCCGCCACGGACCGTCCCGGACCACCCCGGTGCCAACACGGTGCCAACACGGATGACACCGGACCATCCCGGATGGGGTCCGGGATGGTCTAGGGTGATCCGTGTCGCCACCGTGCTGGGTCCGGGATCATCCGTAGGGGCGCCGGGGTGATCCGGGGTCAATAACTCACTCCCGGACTGCCACGGATCAACACGGACTGCCCCGGCACCACTACGGATGACCCCGGACCCAGCACGGTGGCTACACGGATCACCCCGGATCAAACTATTGTCCCGGACCGTCCCGGACCACCCCGGCAGTTTTTGACCGTCAAAAACATCCGGGGTCGACTCCCGGACCGCCCAGGACCATCCAGGACCATCCAGGACCACCCCGGTGCCAACACGGTGTCAAC